GCTTGGGATACCTCTTCAATAACTGCTCCTCAGATCAGGAAGAGACTGTCATGGAATTTTTATGAATTATTGAAAGTCATGACACCTGAATCAAAGGCTCGTAAATTGAGGTAGTATTTACAGAGCAATGAGCCTAACACTTAGAGTAAACAAACGTTTACAATGCCATCTTTAGCTTACAGTCGGTTTAGTCTACGTTGCCCCTCAACAACTAGCGGCTCACATAAAAGAGCCTATTAATTGGCATCAAGCTCCGTTGTTCAAGAGGATTATTGCTACACCTGATGGTTGAATTAAGTTACTGCACAATGGACTATCCATAACTGAAAAATAATATGGTGAATCAGTTCAGTTCAAATAATGTATGACAAGTCTAGCCATTAAGAAGTCCACAATTTGTGTGCATTTTCAGCTGCATATCTGTTTGACTGTCTGTCATGAGCCTTTTCTTTGTAATAGGTACAAATAGATGATCGTAACGACGCCTCCACGACTTGGCTGTCACGATGCAGACAACGTGGATGGTTCAAAACTTGACCTCCTTTCTAGCATGTGATGGTGCTGTGTTCCGGCACGAAATCACTCAAGCACAGTAGTAGTGCCTGCTGACAATAAAGAGGACTGAATGCATTTATCATTAAAATGAGGAATTATCTCCTCATTTCTTACATCCTTCAGTTTGCCTTTGGAAGCAAAGTTGAATTTTGGCATGCTCGGTCATAGTGCTTAATGAACTTCAGCAAAATAGCGGACTCCATTAACCCCTCAATAGTCGCAATTTATGTGAAACGAATGCGCCTAAACCATCAAATTACGATGGCTAATTCCTTCAATCAGGTAGAAACCTCGAGCACTGCTTACTCTACCCATCCCATTTGACAACTCCTGCATAGCAAGATTCTGAATTTCAGCCTGAGCTAAGCTAATTTCCGTGTATCATGCGAGGTTTACAGTCGAATTACAAATTGGACACCAAAACGGATGATAATAACCAGTTGAAAAAAGAAATAAATTAATGTGCTAGGGATTTGATCCGTTCAAGTCCCTTTATCTCAGATTTCACCAATCCGTAAAACAAAATGGAAACGTTACAAATATAAATAATAATTTACCAACAAGAGCAGGGTTTAGAAATCCTACACTTTTTATTTCATGACGATCGAAAAAGGTCAAAACAGGCTTTTGAAATCAGGTCAAGTCATTCCTTATTCATGACAATGAGGTGAGAAATAAGGAGAGAGGTTTCATCTGAAGCCCATCCAATCAGCCGTGGCAGAGGCACAATTCAATAGAAGGCATTGCTTCCAACTCACTATATTGATGAATAGGTGCATACGAACATTGTGTGATTTCTGGCTTTAATAAAATCTCAAAACACTGAAAACACACCATGCAAAATAATCTGCCAAATGTTGGTGCTTTGCTGAAAAAATCTGTCACAATGTTGTAGATTTCAATGTTTTAAGGGGAATGGAATGCAAAGCGATTTTGCATTGAACGATGAGAAGAATTGGTGATCTCGCCAAAGTAGATTAACACATTATAATAAAGCTCACTTGTGTAAAGAGAGTAAAATGCGCTAAATTACATGCGAAATTAGCAAAAAAATCTTATTTAATGCTCCAACTCAAAGGAGCAACAAGTGGTCTGCGATGGATCATTTGATAGGCCCAAAGTCACCTCGAAGAAAGTCCAGCAAATTGAACAATCCCAATTATATTAGCTCACATGCTTTGTTCTGGCTTAAATGTTTCGGAAAGATTTCCTTACTCCCCACACATTGCTCGAGTACAATCTTGCATGAATTTACAATCCAACGCTTTCTTCGTCAGTGCAGTAAAATGCACTATCCCCAGGAAAAGAATACACAGAATCAACTCAATGGATAGCAGAGGACAAAAACCTGCTATGCTGAAGTTTATTGAATTGCAATTAGTAAGGTTGTTTTAAACATTTTGCATTTGCTTTAGACCACTGACCTCTCTCTACTGCTATTGCATGGCATCATGCAACAGTCAGTGTAGTCATGGGCTTAACTTCAGAGCACTAGCTAGAGAACTGGTGAGGTATGACGGTGGAATTCACTTCATTCTGTGGACGTAATTGCAGCATAAGTGACTCCTACTTCACCTAATCATGTCGCATGAACTTCTACACTTCCACATCCTTATTGACACCAGCGGAGGGCACCACAAACATTTACCATTCTTCTATCATTTAAGGCTTACCTGAGTTGAGGAAATACATGACATCATCATGGTGGGGTGGATGCTCACATCAGTTTGCACTAGAAACGCGTGGTTTTAAAATAGATTGAGGGGTAAAGTAAGCATTAGGTGAGACTGTGTAACAGTTAACTAGCCGAAGAAGAGGATGGGGCAGGTTAATTGCCTCACAATTACCAGGTATTACTGCGGAGGAAGTGACAACGACAATTATTGCCATCGCTTACATTGATTGTTCTTGCAACCGATGGCAGTCAATTCAATGCTTCCAATCTTCAGTTGGCCTTAAAAAAAGCAGTACGATAATTTAAAGTGGAAGAGCAAGCTGCTCTGTAAATTTGATTCTTCCTGCAGAAACACTTCTCCAGCTTGATGCGTCTGCCACGAAATGGAGTTGGGGGTGAGCGCAAATGCGCAACGCGTTTGTAGAAGAGCAATTTCGGAACCGAGGAGGCACTTATGATTGCGGTCAATGAGAGACGTGCCTCGTGACATTGAAGGCAACTGCGCACTTCCGCCTATAATTCTGCATTAAGGGAGGATTAAATCAAGCAGGTAGTGTCATCAGTTCAATTTTGACCCATCTCCATGGAGAACGTCCCGACCACTAACATACTTCATAGCACATCGATTTAAGGTACTTGCCACCACGTATAATGCATCCGCATAGACATGCAATGGATGAACACATTATGTTAATTGACAGGGAGAACTAGCTGACTCAAGTTGTTTGTCCGAAATAAGGTGGGAGTGATTGAGATTGGCCTGATCCAAGGCATGGCTTTCACACTCAAAGAATATGTATTTGATCTAGCAAGTTGCAATTGCGTCCACGATCAGTGCGGATTTTCAAATGGGAATCCACCTAGCATTATATCAGGGCATGACCAAATTCAACTTCCCACTTAAAGGAGTACTGAAAATCATAAAAATTGAAGTAGTTTTGAACTCAATGGAGAACGCGTGGAATCCGCATCGTTATCAGCAAGTACACTGCTATGCTTGAATGATTTTGCACAAGGACACAGCATTATCGCACGCTAGAAAGGAGGTCAAGTGGTGAACCCACCACACTCTGCATCGTGGCTTACACGATGTGCAGCCAGACAGACCGATATACTGTCAAAAATTCGCTTAAAATGCCTCACAATGGTGCCTCGTCCCCTAAAAACTGATTTCCTTCTGCTTTTAGGATAAGTTATGACTTTGGAATGAACCAACCAATGCTGCTTGCATCAGACGTTGGATGGTGGGCGCAGCGCTACAGTGTCTGAAGGGCAATGCTTGTGTGTCAACAATAAAAGCCCTCTCCGCTCCGTCAGTTTCCACTGCTTCCACTAGCCAGTATCCTTATATTAAGGAATAGAGAGAGGCGGGGGGAAAAAGAGGGGAGTGGGAGAAGAGTTGAGTCGCCAGCACTGAATACTTGAGCCCACACCTCAGTTTTTTACTCAAGGCGAATCAACACGTAATAGGCAGACCTACTGGTGTACCGACAACAACTCCTACTTATGCATTGTCAGTAGTGATGACGTTAACAGAGGCAAAGCTCATTAAAAACACTGGCCACCACAGAGGAATTTAATGAGAGACAGGCAATGACTGCTCAACAGATGTTCTTATCGGTCGAATGATCTATAAGCTTAGATAAGTCAGTGACGAGCCGCACTTGGAGGGCACAGACCATTCAAATTTCAGTCACACATTTAGTAACCCATTCAGCCACGGCTTAGTCAGGGCGCCTGTCTGTAATCATCACCCCCAATTGGTGAGTCCTTCCACTTGTTATACCAGTGATTAGGAAAGAAGAGCGTTTAAAGTGCTAGCAACGCGATCTAACCTCCATCCACCAATTAGGAAAGGGGAATGAGACAAGTGCAGCTTAATAGTTTTTGGATTGCCACAAAAACACCAGCTACATGCCAAGCCATGTATAAGGAATTAATAATAATTACGTGGACATATTTGAAGGTGTGTGTATGGTTATAACACTAGCAAAAATCACAAAGTTTATTGTTTTCTGGGCTTGCAGCAAATTAAAGACCGTTTAGTAATGCCAACGCTAATGTCAACTCAAAGAAGACGTAGAAACGAAACAAACTAACATCGCCTCCTACTAGGTTTAACTGGCATGGGTTGAGCATAGATCCATTGTCTTCACCAAATTAATGCAGCACCCATTTTGCAGTCTTTCGTAAATTGCAAAATGCCATTTATTACGAGTTGTATCCTAAAATGTACTAAGTTAATGGTCCATGATGCAATGTGGGACCTGCTCGAAGGTATTATTTGCGTGAAATGTAGGTGTAGTATTAGAGGAGAAAAAAGGGAAGACATTTGCGAAATGTCCAATCCTTCTCGAGTGTGATGTTCAGGTGTCAATGTCCAGAATTGCTGGTCGTCAATTAGACGCTGAGAGCGAAGGGTCGGAGACTGCGGTCGATGCATAGAACCGTGTCTTACCACCCCTACTTGTTGCTCATTTGTGTTTAATTCTAAGAAACTTCGGAATGGGCGTGCAATATACGATTGGTTAAATGCATATTTTGACAAAATTCGGTTAGTACTTACAGCACTAGTGACTGGCCTCGCGTCATTGACCCCTGTGGACGACTGGCAATCCAATCCAATGC